GTCTCTGAACCCGCCCTCCCTCCCCCTGATCCAGGGTGTCAGAGTCTAGTTAGTTTTTAGTTTTTATTATAATTTTTTATTATTTTAGCTCTTCCTTTGATTACCTGATATGTGTTAGGTGAACTATGAAACCTCTGATGACTTTGTGTCCTATAAGGTTAAGGAGGTTCTCGGGTCCCCTTCCTTCCCCTCCACGTAAGCTGAGGATGTCACTGCAGCTTCTGCCCACCCCTCCCAGGAGCATCCCTTCCTCTACAGCCATCTGCACATTTTCAACACTATCACCATTCAAATTCTGAGGTACAACCAACAATCGTCCAGGGTGACACATAACATGTAAAACCAACACATGGGATTAACAACCATGTGACGACGTGGAGACGTTTGTGATTTCTCAGCACCGAGGCCAGGCTCTGTTTGGGGCCTGAGGGTTTCATAAAGGAAAGGTGGAGACCAAGTCCCCAGCCTCCAGAAGTGTATAGTCTAGCATGGGGAGAGACTCTCTGAGGGCAATGAAACAGCACACTGCTGGGGATCCAGAGTCATTAGGCAAGGGCGCTAAAATGAATGGTCAGGGAAGGCTTCTTGGAGGAGGTGACATTTAAAACAAGGCCTAAACCACGAGAAGTCAGCAGCTGTTCTCTCTACTGGTGTGACTCACAACCCATCCCACAGCATCCTGGAATTTGGTGTCTTCTAAGAGTAACAAACCTCCCACTTATTACAGGAATATCTAGCCTGACCACCTCCCCTTGATTACTTTTTCTGACGGAGAATTCATACCCTCCCAAGGAATCCCATTTCTTTTCCAGAAAGTTCTGTTTGAAAGTTGCCCTAGAAAACCTCGCTTCCCTTTCACTTCTACTCCTTGATGCCACTGGGGACTGTGTGGAGCAGCTCTGCTCCTGCTTCAGGTCCACGTACTGGCGGACAGGTAAGAGCTCTGATGCCTCACCTCGCCCAGCCGACTCCTCTCCCTAAGGACCTGAGCAGGAGTGAGGGTGAGCTACCAGGTTGTTGCTGGCGCTGCCAGGACAATACCATCTGGCAGGGCAACCGGCTTATAGGGCTTCCTTCCCCTCCAGGTCCCTCCTCGGGTTTGGTCTGTAAGATCACCAGTCAGGTGTCAACCCCAGGATCCAGAGTCTTGCCCTGGCCAATGAAGGCGGGCATGTGGCCCAAAGGAGTAAGTGAACAGTACCTGTTGGAGGCAGAGCGCTCCTGTGAGTGCCGGGGCTGGCTGGAATCCCAGGAGAACTGCTGGGGCGCTCCCAGGTGGTCTCTGGTCAAAGAAGGAAACAAAAGAGCTTTCAGAATTTCATAAGGTATTACCTCAGAGGGTGGCAGAGCAGAACAAAGTAATCAGTCCTGAAAAAAATAGTCCTGGCTGGTCACTTTCCTCCTTAAACCCAGGGACTAGGAGCCTTTCTGCTCCCACACCCATCCCACCTCCCATGACAATAGAACTTCTCTTTGCTGGGGACCCTTTTCCACGTAGCTGGTGCCTTCCAGCTGGGATCCTCTGAAACGTTCCCCCAGTGTCCCCCTCTGTCACCCACAGAGGCTGCCAACTCAGGGATCTCCTGGGCCTTTTTGTCTCTAGTCCTGGAATCCTAGCTGCCAACTGGATATTTCTCCCTGCATGTCATTGTCACCCGAAACCCCAAAGCACGGAGGAAAGAGCCCTGGCCCGGGGGTCTATCCAGAGACATGGTCCTCTGTCACAGGGAGTGAGTTCCAAAGTCCATTCTATATCTTGTCTGAATTACAACTGCTGTGTGTGACTGGCCCCCTCTCCCGGTGCCCAGCGACATGGTGCAGCCAGAAGTAAAGCCAATACTGCAGCTATATTATCATCTCCCGAACACTGCTGTACCTATTTCACCGCTATGAACAGGCTTGTCATAAAATTATCCAGTGACAAAAAGAATACTTTTTTACCATATAAAATTGAATGCTATAGAAAAGCACAAAGAAAAAAGTATCACCCATAACCCCACAGCTTGGAGGTCATTGCTACCAATACTCTGGTGTCTGTATGTTGATTTGTTTTCTTGGCACATACACATCTTTAAAACAGAACAAAATCATATTGTACGTTCTTTCCATGAATAGGCTTTTGTGAGTATCTTTCCAAAATCGTTAAGGTGCTAGATAATATAGAGGTTAGAATCTGTTAACAGCAGAGGATCTAGAGCCAGACTGCCCGAGTTTGAATCCCCTCTCTGCCTCTTACCACCAGTGTAACCCTGGCCAAGCTAATTGTCCTCTCAGTGTCTCAGTTTCCTCCTCTGTGAGATCAATAATAGTATCCACCCAAGGCGGTCCTTGTATTCAGGCCAAATGCCCCAACACAAGTGCTTAACATAACATTGTAAAGGTTAGTCCAATGGCCCTGGCCCTGTGGCTCGGCTGGAGTGTAGTCCTGTACACCAAAAGGTTGAGGGTTCATTTCCCGATCGGGGTATATACGGGAGGCAACCAGTCGATGTTTCTCTCTCACATCAATGTCTCTCCCTCTCCCCCTTCCTCTCTCTCTAAAATCAATTAATAAAAACATATCCTTGGGTGAGGATTCAAATATAACAATAAAAATAAAAAATAAAGTTAGCCCAGTGTATGAATATAACATTAGTTAATGAAAAAATTCTAATCCTGAAAATGCAATTGTCTCAAATATTAAAAATAAAAACAAGCAAAATTCTTTCAGTGACTTCTCTCAATAAGGATTCAAAAGAACTGGGTTTTTGCCTCAGCTTTGCCTCTAATCTGCTGTGCAGCCCAAGGCAAGACACTTTACCTCTCTAGTCCTCCAAATCTTAACCCAAAAAGAAGGGGTTGGGCTAAATGGCCTTTTAGGCCTCAATACTCCTCCCTGAAGCTTTGATTGGTGACCCTAAATCTTTAAACCCATGGCACTCAGATTCCACGACATGGAGACTCCACCAGGGCTCCAGCAGGGACAATGCAGCTGCCTGAAGGATTTGTCCCTGCCCATCTCCCAGTCTTGGCCAGCTCTAGCCAGTCCAAACACAAAGCCACTGAAAGCCTGGGGGAGGAATGAGGCCAGGACAGGCAGACATCTGGAGAGAGCCACCAGGGCCCTGGCTGAGTGACCTCACCAGCAGCAGGAAAAATCACCCAGATGACCATACCACCCACAGGGAGGAAACCATTTCCAGGTCTTTTGCAATAAAAGACTCGCTAATCTATTTACAGCACACCAGGCCCCTCGACTGAGCCAAAGCAAAACTGCCACGACAGCTCAGGGCCCACATTACTCTGAACTGAGGCCCTTTTGCATTTTCTGAGGTTCCATCCCTGGGGTCCTAGGTGATTCCAGATGACCATCCAGACTCAGAACAGAGTCACTGGCATGGAGGTCCAGAGGCTCTGGGAACATGGTACAGTCAGAGTGGAAGGAGTAAGAGATACTGTCTCAGAGAGCCTGTCCAAAGCAATTCACGAGAAACACGTTTTTTCCTAAAGGCAACTCCAACTCAATTCAGATCTCTTCCCCTGAAACCAGGGGAGCCCGACACACACAGATGAACTGACTGTAAATCAAACCAGCCTGAGGGAGGCTGCTCTTCTAGCCATCAAGGCTACAAACCAGAAATTGTCATTTCCCCATCAGTGGGTCACAGTGCTACCCTGCGTAAACTTTTAAAGAGAGAGGACACCTGAAAGGTGGAAAGTGGTGTAAATCTGCGTTTCAGACCACAGGTGTGCCTTTCTTAAGATCACAACAACAATAGTAATACTAATAATAAAACAGTACATGAGGCCCAAATTATTAATTTTCAACAGTCACTCTGGCTTAATTTCCCCTTGATAAGACTTCATCCTGCTTGCACTAGAGGCATTGGCTTCCAGTGGGAAAGTCACAACAAGCCCCTGGACCTAGGCCACTGGTCAGGGCGACTTGCCTTGGGCCCACCTGTAAACCTTGGCTCCCCCCTTACTCCCCTAATCCTTCCCGCCCACCCACCAGTGGGCTCCTGCACTGACTGGTCCGTTTCCTTGGCTGTGGGGTGGCTCTCTGCTGCCCCCCGTGGTTATCAGGGGAAACACCCACAGGTACCAGCCCAGGGAGAATTCAGCTTTCAGGTACTGGCTGGAACCTGAGATTCCTGTAGTCCCCTCCACTTTGCCTCTTTTTATATCATCTTTCTGCGATTCTTATTCTCTCTGCTCCCCCACCTCTTGTTTCTTCTTTTCCCTTGTGTGGTGGTGGCCTACATCGCAGCTTCTCTCCTGGCCTCTGTTTTCCTCACCAGGAGGGTCTGTGGAATCAGGTTTTCCTAGACAGACAATAGCCCTGTTGCTCCCTTCTCCAGCCCTGTCCCTCATCTGGAAGCTGGGTTACTACCAGGCTACTCTGCCATGTCCTCTACCCCAACCAGGAAGGCAAGTCCCAAGAGAGTCCCAGGAGCCTCATGACCTAGTCCAGGGGTTGGGCCAGCCCTCTGAGAATGCAAGCTCTGGCTACAGTATATTCCTAAACCCCTCCCTTAGTTAAATGAGAAACTACTATTTTCTCAACATCCATTTGTGCTGGGTCCACTTCAAGTCCCCCCGCATTGTGTGTCTCCCTCAGAGGTCACAGAACACTATGAAACGGGCGCTATCGTTTCTATTTTTTAGTGGAAGAAACTGAGGCCTCAGTGAGAAACAGCAGAGTTGAGACTCAGCCTGACAGCAAAGACCACCACATGCCAGTCACACCAACACCTCTGAGCTATGAGCTGGGCTCTGGGAGCTGCGGCCAAACTGTGCTGTTTTAATCTATACACCACTATCTATTTGAGAACCACCACGAAATTAGTATTATTATATTAACTTAATGTAATACAATAAATATTTGTTATAAACATTAGAAATATTTATAATCACAACACGTGATAAATTATAGTATTGATTGTAACATTAATATGTGATTTTACATATTTATATATTATGAAATATCATTATATTTGAGGGCCTACTCTATATCCAGCACTGTTCTTGGCACTGGAGCTACTGCAGGGCCTTTGACAGGTTAAACTTCTCCTTCAGTTACATTCTAGTGGTCATGACACTATCCTATTTTTGAATATCAATATATAAAATTTTTGATTAATGAAAATTTAAAATATATCTAATGTGGGTGGAGGGAGGAAATCGTGCCAGGAGACAGGTGACAAATAAGTAAAACATCTTAGGTTAGATGGTGGTACGTCCTAAAGAGAATAAGGCAGAGAAGGGGGTAAGAAGTGGTAAGATGTAGTTTTGGTCAGGGGGCTAGGGAAGGCCTTGCTGTGAAAGGCACATTTAGTATTATCTATTGCTGCATCACAAATTACCCCAAATTTAGCAGCTTAAATCAACAGGCACTCATTGTCACAGGGATGCAGTGAGTCAGGACTCGGGAGGGGCTGAGCTGGGCGGGTCTGGTTCAGGCTCTCCCGAGGCTGCAGTCAGCGTTCCCTCGTCTCTTGCCTCATCGAGGGCTTGACTGGAGCTGGAGGTGCTACTTCCAAGGTGGCTCTCTGGATGCTGGCAGAAGCCACAGGCTGTTCGCGCACGGCAGCTGACTGCCCGCGAGGGAGCGAGCTGAGAGGCAGCGCAGCCTGACGTCTTTGTAAGCCAGCCTCAGAAGCGATGCTCCAAGTCGGCTGCCCAGTTCTCCTGGTCACACAGCTCGACCCTGGCAGAAGTGGGTGGGACTCACATAGGTGTGCATGACAGGGTGTGAGCCATTGGGGGGGCGTGTTGGGCTCTTCCCAATCCCCCCTAGAAGGAGAGGCAGGGGCCAGACAGTGTACCCTGAGTGAGACAGGGGCCGTCCAGGCGCCTTTGCCATGCTGCGGACGGTAGGTAGCGCCGCCTCCACCAGGAGCCAAGACACTGTGGATCTGGGGGTGTCTCACTCAGGCAGGGTCAGGGAAGGGGGTGCCCCAGGCCAAGACAACCCCCAGCTCTGGAGCCATACTCCCCGTGCTGCTTTCAGACCCTATGGGCGTGGAGATGATCCCTGAATGACCTAGTGCCATGAGGAAGAGCAGCTTGACTGAGAGATTCTTGATTGGGAAGCTTCATCCAGATCCACCCCCACGGGGCTGCCACACTGCCTGACCCTGTCCACACACAGCTGAGACCCTCTGGAAGGCACAGAGCAGGTGAACGCTCAGCCAATGGAAAGACACAAAGGCTCGTCACAGACACCTGCCCGAGCCCCTGCCAGCAAAGATCTGCACCCTGCAGGCTCCTCAGGTCCCACCACCCGGGAGCCCTGCTGAG